AAGAGTTTTATACACTTCAATAAAATTAATCAAACTTATTTTATATTTTATTGTAACTTTATTAATGAATGAAAGATTTACATTAAAATTTTCCGAAATATAATATGTTACCCCATACCTTCTTTTTCCAGGATTTTTTCAAACTTTAAGAAAAAATTCTCTCCGTGTATTAATATCACTGCACTGCTTGCATTTTATTGTTAAGTTAGTAATATTCCAAAATTTCATCGATGTGACGTACGCATATCGAACTTCTTTAAAATTAAGAATTTTTTTTTCAGAAAACTTTGCATAATTCTCTGACTTTTCCCTGATTTCCCTGATCGTTTTCAATTTCTTTGACGTTTCCTTGATTTCCAATTTTGTGGCAACCCTGTACGGATGAATTTACATTGAAATCCGACAATATCAGATGACCTTGTACGCATAATACGTATCAGATCGCACAGAATTCACTTCGTCACACCGTCACTCAACGCGACGTGACGCAGAACTTCCGCGAAACGGGCTTACACGATCGCGAAGTGCCGATTTAACACGATTATCGTTCTTGAGAAGCCAACCTGTGTCTTATTAAAATTGACTGAATTGTCTTATACTCGCGTAACGGCGTATCTCGCCGACACCTGTTATCGGTACCTGCGTAGCGCGACGCACGCAAAACGCGTCTGAGGAAGGCGCCGCGACGTTGGCACCGGTTATCGCGGCTCCCTACTCCTTGAAGAACGGTTCAAGTAGGAACCGCGGGGAACGAAGTTCTTTGGACGAAGTACACTCATGTTTCCAATGGTTTCGAACCAAAACTTAAACTCCTCGATATATTTTGGGATGTTGGTGTCAATGTTAAATCACAAATGATCGATGACGTTTCGCCATGCGGAAAGAATCTTGAATTATTCTTGCCAAATGCACGAGAGAAAATGTACACGGCTACATAAAGTTTGTGAGAGAACTACGTAAGCCGTCATTTCTTCGAGTCGTTATCCGCAAAGATAAATATATGGTCGTCGTAATAAAAGGCGTTCAAGGCCACTGACAAAAGCCACGTTGTTGTACGATGTTTTTCGCGTGCGATATGAGCGCATCGCAGAATGTAATGAGTTGTTTTGCACGCTAATCACTTTCCAGAGCACGCCAATTATTCACAATGTCGACGATATTATTTTCTACGCTCGCTTCTTGCGAAGAAGACAAACTATAGATCCCATTCCACCTGGTATCATCGTCGACGAAACTGCACATGTCGAACACGGAAACACACACGCACGTTAATCATCGAGAGATTAGATAAGAAGAGACGATCGACAAGAGTCTCCGCGTTTGTAGCAAATATTTGAAATAACAACGATTCGATGCCGAGAATCGTTGCAGTGCCGAAGGCGTCCCGAACTGATCACGCGAGCTCGCGATTAGGTATGTTAATTGCGTTACGCAATGACAATCGTGCACGATGGACGAATTTATCGCGCAGTATTAACTTAAAGTATGTGGACATCGCGACGATCGCTTCGGCTTCGGCGCTGCAATCATCGCGTCGAAAATAATCGTGACTGCCACTTGTACCAATTTTAGCGGCGCATAATAATCGCGTATGCGCGGTATGATCTAACGTTAAGCGATACGATCGACATTAGCATTAAATTTGTTGAGGCTTTGCGTCTTCCTGTCTTGAAGAGTTGCATGTCGTATTTCGTAACATTAATGACTTTTAAATATCTTCTCTGATCGGCGCAAGATTTTGAAACCAAGGCTTTTTTATTTAAAAAGATTTTTTTACTCAGAAAGAATATCTAATAACGAAACAAAAACATATTTTTTACGTAACTTAATCGTTTTACAATCTTATAAAAGTATGAAAATAAAATAATACTTAGATTAGATTAAATTCTTATTCTTCTGTCTCGAATTAAATAAGACTTATATAATTTCTACCAATGTAGAATAATTTTGTAGATTAACTAATCTTGGTTCAACTCTTACTCCTCATCTTTTTTTCATTTTTAAAACTAGAAAAAGATAAAGAGTTGAACCAAAATTGAAGCTAATCTACATTAATAAAAATGGGCATTAATGTTTTAAAATAAGAATAACACATATTCTTACGTTTAGAATAATTTTATCCGACGTTGTAACACATTATGCTGATGCTATAATATTTGATACGAAACCGATATCCAAAATCATTTTATTCCAAACTTAAGAATTTTTCCATTTAAAAGTAAAATATTTCTTTGTTAATAATAAAGACATATATAAAGACTAGAGAAATATATATAGATATATAAAGACTAGAGAAAAAATGTATTAAATTTCAATAAATAATTGTTTGAATAGTACTAATATAACATTTATTTACGGAAAATAAATACTTATAAAAAGTTAAATAAAATAGTAATAGATATAGTAATATAGATAAATCAAATTAAAATGATTCTTGTATCAAATAAATATATGTTTATATTTAGTAAATATTCAACCGGCACTATTCGAATAAAAACTAATTAAAATTTAGTACATTTTTCTCTCATTGTCAGTGTAATAATCCCTACATTCATCTTGTTTGTGATAAATCGAAGAATAATATTGGATCCGGAAATCTTTTTATACAGGTATATATAATATAATTAAATGGATAGCGTCTTTTTCGTGTCGCTCCGTATTGTGCTCCTAGGTATTCACGTGTAAATTGAATGACAGTCAGTTCACTGTTACCTTCCCGTTAAGCAATTAGTATGCACGACTACTATTTAGCGGAGTCGCGAATACCCTTGACATCGTAAAACTGATGTGATTTAGATTCTTTGACATCTTAATATGCGCAATTATTTCATCGTGACTAATTTCTGAGCAGAATTTTTCAGATTGGCGATAATATCTGATTATAGAGAATTGATGGATAAGCTGAACATAATCAATCGATCACATAACAGGCACACAAGGCAGTTTTCTCTTTATCCACACCGAAACGTTGCCATCATTTTTTATATCAGTCATTTCCTGATTACTCGTTTCCTTTTTTATGCAATATAAAACGTAACATAATTTTCATACTTCTGTTAAGTTGTTATGTTTTTAATTCGCACGCAATTAATTCGTTTCACTTTTCAGTCATAATAACTAGTTGCTATCGTTACTGAACTATCATTATTAATACATTACATTCTGAATGTTTTATACATAAAAAAATTGCAAAAATATTTTAATAAAGCGGTCTAATCTCACGTTCAATCTTTTTGAAAAATGATAAAATATCTCTAATGTCATGCAGTGACGCATTCAACATTGACGTTTCATGTGCTATTTACGATCTCGCGCATCCACAGGAAAGCACAAGCGAGCACAAGGCGCATTTATATCAAATTTCTAATCGGGGCCGAGCGACTCGTCACGGTGAGATTTCTCCATATGCGAAAGTACATATTATTTTCGGTACGTTTCGCGTCGGTGGTTCGCGCGCGACGGGCGACTTATGTAGAGATCCTCTACAAGTAAGAAAACTGGACACCGTTTAGACAACTTCTAATTAATCGTTCGTCCAGACAATTTTCCAGACCTGTTTAAAATAAGTAGATGTATAAGGTAGAATGAGTTGCGTATATATCTCATTCTATCTTATGCATAATTTATCTCATTCTACACTGCTAAAAATATCATGAAATTTAATATATTTTTACACAAGTTGAATTTAATTTCATGAAATTACGTTATATTTAATGTATTTGTAATTGAAAAGTATATATTCGTGTACATGTATGTGAAATTTAATGTACTTCTTATAAAATTTTACGTGGATCTGTTGAAATTTAATGCACATGTTCATTACATTTAAAATTATCTACTGTAATTAGTTTTTAATTAAATCATTCATTACTTTTCTATTATTTCTTGATTACGAGATTCTGTTACACGTTACTTCAATTTATTACGAAATTTAGCAGTATATCTTAACAAGTCCTGAAAAATATGGCGGATCAATCAGAAATCTAAATGATGTTCAATCTTTTACTTGGGAATTCTAGATTTATGATTCCAAGCCAAACAAAGAAATGCAAATAAACGTGAATGAACAGCTTGCTTTAATGAGCGTGACGCTGTTTGTACTCATTGAGGCGAGCTACTCAGTCGCGACTGTTCGCATTCATTTGTTGGAACTGGACCAGGCATTATGCGAACGTGCGGGTAACGAAAGCGCGTGATGTACCAACCGGATGAGCACTAGAGTGACCGCACGATTATTGCGCTCATGCTCGATCGCCCGTGCAAACGTTCGTTGTACGATCTCTTTCCCGAGCACGTGTCGTTCATGCATCCCGAGTTACATGCACCACGATGCATTATCACAACGCGTATTTAGCAAGTGCCCGCATCGACTACATGCCCGAACTTTAATGGCTCTAAATCGATCAGTCTTAAACCCGACGACGCATACACAAGATGTACGCATTTCGAGGAAACTTACATACTTCCTCTTTTATTTTCTGCTTCTGCTAAATTTAGGATTAAAAATCTTTGAATACATTGAAAAAAATATACTAAATTTTTATAAATAATTGTTTGAATAATATTAATGTAATATTTATTTACAAAAAATAAATATTTGCTAAATAAAAAAAATATTAGAGTTAAATCAAATTAATAATTCTTGTATATCAAATAAATATTTGTTATATTTAGTAAATATTTAATTGGCATTATTCAAACAAATATTTATTAAAATTTAATACATTTTTCTCTCAGTGTAGGATGGAATAAAAGCATTTCATTATAATTATTTAGATAGTAGCAGTTAGTTTTCAAACAAAATTATCTCCAGGTAAAAAACCGTTCGGTCGGTTAAGTATAATATTTAATTTCCACGAGGAAACCAGTATGCCAGATGTCATGAAACACACGGTAGGGTAATTCAGACCGCGATACGCGCATGAACGGACAGACGCACACAGAACACAGAAGAATAAAATATACATAATAATAAAAATGAGCTTTGTAATCGGCATTACCTTGGCGATCGTCTCTGCAGTGCTGGGATTTTGGTGGCGGCGGGGGTGCATTCGAGTATTCTATGAATGAGCGGAAAAAAATTAAAATAATAATTAGCCGTTCTACCAGCTATGAAAATCAACTCGCGGGATTCAACGAGGAATCGCACATACGTTGCCGAGCGAACCTATCGGTCAACTTGACGCACGTTCTTCTCTAACGTTCTTTATCTAACGATATTGGTGCCACGAGAGGCGGTAATAATTTTTCATAATTCACACAATTTAACGAACTTAAACTCTACTTTTTTAATCAACCAAAAAAAGCTTAGATTTATTTTTAAAGACACGGAAAAATTTTCTGGCTCCTCCTTCCCCCCTTTTGAAATCTAGGAAGACTCAATCCATTCTAGACGCTCCAAATGGCTGATGAGATTTCAGACCTTCGAAGGTGACGGTAGGTCGCGCCATGTAGACAGGCAGAGTCGGCCACCAGGTTCTATGCTTTCGCATGGTGGTAGGCGAAGGCGGTGGAGGCGGTGGTTGGTACCTGAACCTCGGTCTGTGTTTGTCAGGGTCGAAAGGTTGTCCGGCGAAGACAGTCTGCTGTGACGGTTTGAGGATCGATGCAGGGGTCGTTCGCGGTCGTGTCGGCGACGAGGAGGTGGCACGCGGACGTTCCGGTTTCTTCTTGTCAACCGAAGAAGATCGCATCTTCGAGGTACCTCGATGAATTCTGAGATCGGCCGGCGATGACAACGAGCGCATGTTGTCCCGTCGACTGGGGTATCGGTGCGCTACCCACTTCCCAGCCAAATAGGGCGCAATGTCACGAAGTTCACGCACATCCGGCGCCGACGTGAACATCTCGCCCATTATGGAAGTTCGGCCACCACCGGTGTCCAATGATTCGAATCTTTTCCGCATCCGACAGACTGGTTTCTTCGCCTCGAGTTCTTTGGTCTCCGCTCGTCTGGTCACGTGATTGGTAACAGTGCTGGTAGCTTGGGGCTCCTTCAATTCGACTGTTTTGCTGATGACATCGATGTGCGGCATCGAAAGATTTTCCCGACGCAACGGTACTCGCGAGATCGGTGGTGACTCGCCCCTTCGTCCTATCCGCGGTCGTCCCTTCTTCGTCTCGAATTTCTTGCGCAACCATGCCACGTCGACGTGCTCGTGAGATTTTAGAGCACTACCATGCTCTTCTCTCTCGGTCGCCTTCTTCAACAAGCTCCGTGCCAATTCCGGATCACTGCGAAAGCGCTTCGGCGCGGCGGTGATCTTGACGCGTCGAGGTAGATCCTCGGCGCTCTCGAATCTCGCGCGTAATCTACGCACCGTGCCGTTCCGCACCAGGTTGAGATAGGCTCGCCAGTACCTCTCGGGATCCGGCGATGAACTGCGCGGCCAACCGCCGCCGCTGTCCACGCTGCAAGACGAGTTCGATCGCGTGGTCGCGCGACACGGACTGACGCTGCGCGGCCTCGCGTTATGTTCACGCTCCCGTGAACAGGAGCGGAACGACCGTCGTTGTTGTCGCGTACTCATCATTTCCAGCAACGTCGGTGAACTACCATCGATCTTTCGTTCCCGCGGCGACGTCGATCGCGATCGATCGAACCTACCGACAGTACCGGCCAACGAACTATACTTGGCTAATTCAGACTCGCCAAAAAGCTCTTTCAGATCAGTGAAACTCTGCGACGAAGGTAACTTCTTCTTGCCGCGAAACGTCCACGTCGTAGTAGTTGTCGTCGTAGCTGTTGCCAACGGCACGATCTCTTTCTGCTGTTCTGTTCTTTTCTCCACATTCTCGAAGAACTCGATCTTCCGCGATACGTCCTCCGTTTCGGGTCCACGCTGGATCACCGTTTTCACTGAGGTCTCCGAACTCTCCGTCATGCTGTCTCCATCACTGCCCGAGGCAAACTTGCTGCTCGATTTTGCTTTCTCGGTTGGCATCGTCATGGCCAACAAGGGAGGTTTCTTCGACCATTCTTCGAGCACTGTCTCTACGCGTTGCTTGTCACTGGGGTTCTCGTTATTGGGCGTTAACACCAGCAGGAAGTCGCTTTTGTCTTTCGATTTAATCGTGTCTTCAACATATGACGTTTCGAGGGAATAGCAAGTCCTGGGGGAGGTGCTGGCCACACTGGGCGTGTCGGGTGCACAAGGAAGTCTTGCGGTACTCTTTGTAGACGGTTTTGCCGGCATTTTCTTGGCCGCTAAGGCAGCGGCAATGCTACCACGAGTCTCGCGAGGAGCTAAAGGCGAGGATTGTCTTTTTTGCATCATTCTGTCCAGCACTTCTTTACCGAGAGTCAACGACAGCCTCTTCTTCTCCAGCTCCGACATCGACGGCGAGATCGATTTCTCTGATTCTGATCTCTCAATGCTCTTCAAACGCCCAATGGAATCGCTCTTCTTCAAGGTTTTCTCGACATCATTCTGTTTTTTTAATATTGACTCGTTTGTCGCTATCATTGAATGACATCGTACGTGAAGACTCTTTGAATCATCTTGAGGATAATTCTGGGAATCGCCTTCAGGCGGTACAATAATTTCGTAGTTAGTTAAATTTTCGTCTTTAATAATGGGATTTTCTTTAATAGGTTGCTGATGCTCGCTAATTTCGCGAGGTGCATCGACAATGTCGTCGTTCGACCGTTTCTGGGGACTGTCGCTACCGTAAATTTCGTTTAGTTGCTTCTTTAAATTGGTTATTTGCTCGATGGACAAACTGCTCCAGAACTTCTTGCTGCCGCCGAGACTCTTCTGTAACGATGGATGATAATCTGCGAATTTGTTAGTATCCCGAAAATTAACATTCGCCTTCTTCTGCATCGTAGTTGCCACATTTATGACCGAATTTCCACGCCAGAGAGGTTTATAAGTATCTTTCTGCATGATAGCTTTTTTTTTGGAGAAGTCCAGTTCGCCTTCCTCGCTCTGAAGTCTTCGAAAATATTGCAAAATATCTTCCACGGAGCGTTCCTTGCAGCGCAGCCCACAATCGCCGTGCCACCTAAATTTATCAATGTCTTTCGCGCTAAAAAGAAAGTCCTTGTCACGTTGAACGCTCTTCAGCTTTCCGTAAAGCGCCTTCAGTTCCTGTTCTGCCTTTTCCTTCGATCTAACGCATTTCCAACGATCATAATCGATAATTTCTTCGTTTTTCAGCCGCGGTCGTAGATCCCCGGAGGAAAATGTACGTTCCAACTGATCCATCCTGCTGAGATTCGTATAGAAATCGCGCAGATCTTTATACCGTGTCGATTTACGTCTGTGGTGCAACAATTCGAGTATATATTGTTGATAATCTTCGCGATCCATAGACGATAATGAACCGGTACTTTTCGTCAATGATAAACTCGAACCGTCCCTCTTGGCGTCTTCTGCCTCACCGGCGCTTCTGGCTCTTACTTTTTTCATAATCATCAGCGGGACGTCTAACTCTTCCTTCTTGGAGATGTGAGTCCGTCGAGACGCCTGCGATCTCACCGGAGATGGCGAAGAGGATCTTGGCGAAGATTCTCTGGACTCGGGCAGAGTCTTCAATGGTGGCTCGCTTAGACTTCGCTCCTTTACGTATTCTCGCGAGATAGATTCTGGACTACGAACACGCAACATAGTGGACGAACCAAAATCATCGATGCCCAACAAGCTGTCAAACTTGCCGATCTTTTGAAAAACCGATCGGCCAGGCCAACAGACTCCGTACGGACTTGAACTCCTGGACGAGATGACGCTCTCGCGTTCCCAATTTTTGAACTTTGAGTTCGAGACCGGCCGCTTGTGCGCCAAATACACGCTTAAAGACTTCAGAGACTCCGACCTGAAGCTCTCTCTTACGCCGTTCTGGAACATTTTTGCACGCTCGCTAACGAGAGACTTCTTTATATTTTCTTCATGAGATTGTGCGAGCGACGGATGATTCCGTAAAAAAAGATTCTGGAAGAAAGTGTCTGTGCGCGTTGCTTCCTGATGTTTCTTGATCTTATCCACGGTCAAGCAGGTGATCTTGGAATCTTGTTCGACACTCGGCGCTATATTCTCTATTCTCCTCAGTATCTTGATCTCATCCTTCTCGGCCATCTCTCTCCACCCATTCAAAGCCTTGCTCACATCCCTTTCATCGACGCTCTTATCTTTCCGTGCTTTCCTTCTCGCATCCATTTTTTTCCAGTCACCGTTCACCGTTATACGTATTATCTCCGGCTTCCTTGTCGGAGTTTTGACGATCGTGTGCGGCTTCTCACGAGGTCGCTTTCTCTTGTTCACTTCACTGATCGCTTCGGAACAGGACGAAGATATCGAACGTAAAGATTCCTTGCTAACAACCAGCTTTTCTGGCGGCTTCGCGACGATCTTCGTCTTCTTTGGCTCCGTCTTAGTGATCTGTGATGACGCACTTTTCGCAGGAGACTTTAGCTGTGCGCTTGACCTTCTTTTCGTTGCCGTAAGCTGTTCAGGACGCTGTTCAGATGTCTTTCGTAATACTTCCTGTTCCTTGAGCGAAACAGCTTTGAGAGATTTATCCACTGGACGCTTTTGTTTATTCGTCGACGAGCTCTTTACTACAGTACCCAATGAAAGTATCTTAGTCTGCACATCCCTCGTTTCTTTCTCTTTGTGCTTCTGCAAAACTTTCTTGACCTCCACTGGTGAGGAGAGTTCCTGTGATCTGCTTAGCCTTCTACAAGATTGTTCTTGCTCTTTCTTCGTCAAACGAAGTTTCTCTCTCTTCGGAGTTGAGAGAGGTTCTGATTTTATTCTCTCTAGAGATTTCTGTCTTATTTTAGTAGCAGAAATTGCGTGTCTGGATGGTACCTTTACTGCTGTGAGTTTATCAAGCTTCACTGAAGATTCGCGAATATTTTTCGATGCTGGCGACGTTGAAGAACAAACGTGATTTCTCGCACTACTTGACGGCAGATTTAACTTCTTTGCTTCAAATTGAGTTTGTGACAAGCAGGGATCCGATTTTCTTTTACCAAAAGTGTTGGACAACAAAGCAGACACCTTGGTAGTCTTCGAGGCAATCGGGCTGCTGGAGGACGTGCGAACGATTGTGCTATGAAACTGCTCGCGATTTTGTCGATGCCGTTCAAGATTGCTGCAGAATCTCTCTTTTAGAGACCTGATGCTCGATACGCTATCAGCATGCGCAAAACACTGTTCGTGTCTAGGTTTCGAATATGCAGTGTACGAATTATCGATCAATCGCGTATTCTCCGAATATAATTTTCTCAAGGTTCTGCTATGGCGTGATGATTTTCTTCGAGGCGGCGAAGGAGGCCTTGGCGCCGACATAGCTTGCGAAAGAGCTTTACCGGACGATGAGAGGCTATGAGGAGGAACCCTCATGACCTGCGGCGGGGATCTTGTATCGATCGAGGACAATATCGACCATTCATGCCACGTCGAGAATGCCGTCGTGGACGAGGTGATTCTTGACGTGCACGAGGCGCTTCTTCGATGCACGCGGATCCTCGTCAGAGTTGGCGAGATCGGGAAATATTCGATCTCCGAGTCGTCTGTGGACAAAGTTTTGGAATTTGGTCCGGATTCTCGATGTACTATTGAAGGCCCTTCGCTCTTACACCCTGCCACCCAAAGATCAGTCGTCTAAAGATTGTCCCGCTCAAGACTAAGCTGGTGGACGCGCCGAGTTTCGCCGGTGCGACAGCGTGCCGATGCGAGGATTCGCCACTCCTCATCGTGATGTTACTGCAGCTGGCGGTGTGCTTATACGTAAAAAAGAGGATTGCAAAAAGAGCTTTTCGAAAAGACCGACTCGCGCACCAATATCGATAGATTATCGAGAGAAGAGCTGTGCCATATTTAAATTAAAGTGAGAACGCCCGAGGTCAGGTTGCACCAATTCTACTGGTTGACTAATTCCAATTATCGATTATCTGTCCCTTCTAGATCGCAGCCTCGGCCACGATGCGATATCCGAAGGAAAGTTTTAGGCTGATGGAGAAATGTCGTGGATTGATTAATTAATCAATATCGACGATATCACCGATGCGTCATTGATTAATTAATCGAGAGTCGGCCGGTAAGTTTATCAGCCAAGTACTACAATAGTCGCATCTTGGACAAACCCTTGTTCCACGGCAACCTCTCTTCCAGCCTAATTAATTGCGATTAGTGTTAACTGACATTGATGCAACCACCTTCGGGAGATTACACATATAAAGAAATTCATACGTATCAAAGCTATGTGCTTCAAACAGAGCACTACTCACACGTCATGCCACGCGCTTTTCAGCATAAATCAGCACCGAAAGTTGAAATTTTCTGAGAGAAAAAAAAAATCGTCTCGACTTCATTCGTCAATACATTCAATTTTGTGAAACATCGAGGATACTTTTTAATCTCTCCTCCCTCTCCCCCCCCCTCCTCCATCGTAAATAATTCGAAATATTTATAAATCAATTATAACAATTTCGCTAACAATAAAAATATAATACTAACATTTTATAATCTTTCAATAATGTAAAACTAATCTTTTCCTCATCACTCGAAGTTTCGGAACGCATGCGTAATTGACAAACACAATGATAATTAATAAAAATGCACACACATTGCAAGCAACCTTAAAACACACACCCGCATGCCAAAAATAAACTCGAGTTACACGGCCGATGTTGCTCAGCGTGCTGACTGTAGCAAATTAAGACGTATGAAAAAAGTAAGAAACAAAAGAAAAATTAAAATGCATACAGTACGAGGATCGGCTGAGGGGCAACTTACCCTTTGGACGTTCTGGAGCTGGTTTGCGAAGCCCATGGAGGGGTACGTCACCACCGCTCTGCACTGTTTTGTATGCTAGTCTCTGCTCCAAAAGGCTGAGCGGACTAATATCTTCTCGTCGGCGAAACACCAGCGTCGAATCGCTCTCGTAACCCGACTCTTTGAGGGCACTTCGCAAATAAGAAACGCCGGTGAGAGACGCCGTCGAATGACAGCTCGATTCATTATACAGAATTAAAGGGATCAGAAATTGACGTTGTACTTACTGAGTTATGTACGGCTTGGCCGCGGCACGTACGTCGCTGCGCTGATCGAAAGGCTGGAAAAGAGGGAAACGCCATTATTATTACCGTTCGTTATGTCGATCGGTCCTCGATCTATATAATATATATGAAACATGCTACGTATACATGTACGCTACTTGACATAAAATGTCGTACGCCGCAAGAGATACGATTACTCGAGATTCGAGAACGAAAACTCACATCGAGCAGAACATCGAGCAAATCATGCCGCAGTCGTGTAATGCTAAGCCAGGATGAAGAGGAACGTGGCAGGATTAAGCTAATGAGACATAATCCGAAGGGGATGAAAGAGGAGGAAACAAGTACATAGGAAATCAAGATACAAGGAGATCGACAATAGCCATTTGTGATGCAAATATACTTGTAAGTGATTTTGTAAATCAGAAAAAGAATTATGTCAACATATGAATTATTAATTCTCAAGAAATAATTGATACCGCTCAATGATATAATTCGCTTCCGTAATAAAATATTTCGTTCATGCGTATTGAGTGATGTATGTGTTAAAAAAAAATATTTTCTAGTGTTTTCGGAGTTTCGCGATGTGTACAAAGAAAGCGCTAAAATCGAAGACCATCAATATTCATAGTCCGTTCATCAATGTATTCAAAATCGTCTAAGTAATATTTTGAGATGCTAATACGGCTTTGTGATAACATCTTAAGGCTATACTTAAGACGGTCTTAAATATAAGAACCGATTATAAATACCGACCTAATAATTTCTTTTCGGCAAATAGAGTGTTGTATAATAATATAGATAAAAATGTGTGAAATAGGCTATAAAGAATGAAGAAAGAGATACAGAATCATGACAAAAATGCAGAGAAGGAAGTGAGAGAGACGACTCGATAGCCAGATAGAGAAAAAGAGACAGCAGAAAGATATATAGACAGATAGAGGACAACGTCATCGTGCACTCTACTTGTCGACGATGTGGCAGCCGTTCTAACCCGTGAAACGGCTTGCGTGGTGATAACGGAGGGTGTTGTCGGTGATGGTGGTAGCATGATATGATCGGTGCTGGAAAAAGAAGAAGAAGTAGAAGAAGAAGAGAGCGGCAGTCGCTGCAATTCTTGGTTTTGATGGTGGGACTGTTGATGGTGGCGATGTTGATGATGATATTGATGCTCGGGATAATGATGGTGATGACCATGATGATGACGATGTTGCTGCTGCTGCTGCTGCTGCTGCTGCTGCTGCTGTTGTTGAATGCTGTTATTACCGATCGAGCACGGTACGATCGCGGCGACGGCCGGAAGCGGCGATATTGCTGATCGCTCGATCCCAATCGGATGCGATCGACGCGCCGGGCAACGATCCGGCAACACGAAGCTCTTGGATCTTCCATCCAGCATGCTGCCAGCGGCGTGCCAATAGCAAGGATCAGCGGCAGCGGGAGCGCGTTCCAGAGGTCGGATGATGCGACTGTCTTTGGCATTGTCACCGGTGGTGACAGTTGAACGATCGTTCGACCGATCAATAGACTCAACCGGTAGGATCAAGGACGACTTGGACCGATCTTGGATCGGAGTTCTGGATCGATGCATGCGCGACTTGCAGGATAGATCGATCGACCGATCGGTCGTACCTTCCGGTGCCACCGGACGCGCCCGCCTTATGCCGCCAATGAACTCGGAGCTTTTCGTGCTGCTGATTGCCGGTATCCTTACACTGTCCTCCGGCCGGTAGGAAAGGCTGAGGACGCGGGACTGCCGAACGCCACCGTCCAGAGACTCCATCCTAGCGTGCTGAGGATGTCCGTTTTCATTCAGCCACTGTCACCCGTAGTTGTCATTGTCGTCGTCGTTGTCGACGTTAGAAGGAGGTGGATAGCGGTGTGGGATGACATACGAGCAGGCACGACACGCAAAACATCGACGAGCACGCACACGCACACACACGATCATCGGGGACATCGGTCACGATCATCTCGAGCGAATGATGATCGGGATCCGGGACGATTCGACGATTCATAGGACAGGAGTTCAAGACGGAAGACATTAGGTGCAATTGATAAAACGATACTGTGCATAAGTTAAGACATGGATCACCGTATACGTGACATTCGTATCGAAACGCGATAAAATTCTTTGCACTCGGTAATATTTCTCCGTATAAATCCTTCGATTTAATTATCATTATCGAAAGATTTATAATACTTTAAATAATATCGGGGAAATCCTCATGAGGCAGGAAAATTGCGTGTGCCCGGTCGGGTGCACGAACGATTATCGATTATCGGAGCGCAATAAGCTGCCTTCAGTTATCGTTTGACGCTAACGATAAGTTGCACGAAAAAAATCGCTGATCGCTGTTTTTATTGACTAACTTTACAAACAGCGTATATCACACAAAGATTGGATTCGAAATACACATCTTGAAATGCAATAATCACATTAAAGACGCGATTCGTTCATGAGAGAAATTAAAATTTATTTTAGAGATGGCAGCTTCTTATTCGTAATTCTGATTTTACGACAAAATTCTACGAGAGAAGGAAAAGAAGATTTATGTGACAACATAGTAATTCTACAAGATCCCTCAAGGCGATGAACTACCAGATTAATTCCGAAGTAATGGAAAATGTTAATTTTAATTCAGTCTTAGTATCTACGCGGAAGAAAGAGTACCAATAGATAGACCGAGGAAAGAATAGAAGGAATAGAGAAACGGAGAGAATTCTTATTTAACTACTGCATTAATATAAAAATGGCGTACCCCGTCAAATATGTCCATGACCTCGTCCCACCACTAGAATCACAGAATTAAACACAGTGTTATACTAGGCGCTATCTAAAAAGGTTACTGAAACATTTAGATTCAAATAAAAGGGAATAAACAAATATTCGAATATTCTTGCCATTCTCCATCTAAAATAAGAGAAGAGGTTGAATAATCTACCGCTAAATAAATATAGCAAAGAGAAAAGCTAAATTACGAATTTTCCTAAATTAAATTAACAATTATATAAATTATAACTAAAATATATAATAAAATTACACGTTAAATTGAAGGTAAAAATTACTAACTGAATAATTAAACAGAATTAAATAGAAAAATTTAGTACAGTTCGTTAGTCTCAATTTTAGATGGAAATCGACATAAAATTTAAACATAGGATCAACTACAAGCAGCGCTACAAAAGCTGTGTAAAAATCAATGGAGTTGTAGTACTACGTGGAGCCGCAGAGCACCCTGAAGAATGCGATTCTTTTCACTCGAGGAATAATAAAAATTTATATATGTAATCACCATTATTTTTAATAATTGCTCTCTCGGGGGGACTCTGCGCATTCTGAACATACGTGCGTGCTTAATGTATACCAACTGAGAACTGTGTCTGCGCTGTGTGTATGTGTGTATGTGTTAAAGAAACGCAATAACCACCACAAGGGCGGAGAAAGTAAGAGCTCGCAATCAATTAACTCGTGATCGCCAAACAGAAAAGCTCTCAATAAACGGAGGAAACGTATAAGTTGGCCGGCAAAAGCAATTCGTTTTATTTAACACGTTCGATTGGCGTGATTACCTTCCTTCTTGTCCGCGCGTCGTAAGTTGGCTAGAAGCAAAGCCATTTCAAACGATCATGTTCCAGGTGTGTATTCAGGTAATCTTGGGAATCTTTCAGAGAAATCACGATTGCGCCGCGTCGATAAGAAAATAACAAAAAGGAAGCGAGATGTCTACACGAATTTCTATTGCCACTCTCGCACGAAATATGGCTTGATGTCACACGATACAAAATGATCTACTGCACGTTCGATCAATTTCGCGTATCGTGTATAACGATATATGACACTTTGACAGAGAAATAGATAGCCAATCTTAAGCTCGCCTTCGTGCGCCCATCCCAACGTTAGTATCAACCGTGGTCAGCTAAATTTTACCTTCTTCATTTATCTATCTCTTGTATCTAACAAGGAGAGATTTCAGATATGTGTCACATGGATTTTGAAAAGTTTGATATTAAGATACAAAATCTGACATTGTAAAAATAGTACGTAATATTCGGATGCCAATGGGCCAAAAGATTGGACGTACAAAGTTTTAAAATAACCGCAAATATACACACACACATACATGACGGACATCTCATAAATCTCCAAAATGTGACTGGGTCGGTCTAGCTATAGTTTGCAACAAGCAGAGATTGTCCTTGATCCTTTCGGATTTGACTCACTGACATCTAAATGTTACATATTATTTTTATGACGTCGAATTCTATACTTTAATATCGAATTTTTTAAAAATTTGCGTGATATATATTCAGATCTTTCAGATAGAAATCCATACTGAATATTAATTATATATATA